TACTCCTCTGTAATTATTATTTTTTCTAAAAGTTCATTGCTTCAAATATTGGACATTTTATTACATGTCTTAAACTTCTGGGAGAGATCTTACGGCTCATAGAACCTTAATTCATGCATTATTTTGTAATCAATTTCAGTCGCACGAGTTTCCCTCTTGATTCACCGTGAATCGATTAACAGAGTAAAGGAGAACTAAAAGTACACGGAAACGAGAGCCACGAACGGTAGTAAATGATCGTGCAAGTCAAATTGCTTCGTCGCTCTCTCTTAATTACCGGGAAACTGTTGGTGATAAAGCGTTAAAGGCGGGTGCGATAGATGCGTGGACAGAAGCCTCGCTGACTTGTGTTTGTCTTTTAGTGAAAGTAGGGAGAGGCTCATTCGGCGTATAACTATAAATCCAGTCGTGTCATGTACAACTATTCCACCGAACGATTCTCGCGATGATCACAAAATAAAACGCGTATCCCGTTACCGAGCGTATGAAAATAAAGCAACTAATTGTGAGAAATACCTTTCACCACTCCTAATTTGTATTAGCCAATGATAGCTAATGACATGATACAATTTTACATTAACGGTGACATAGACGGATGTAGTTTACAAGAAATTGTTCATTAAAGTGTTCACGCCTTAACGTTTAAGTAAATAAATTATGTTGAGAAACGTTATTCTAAAATATACTTAGATACTTTGCACTTGTAATTATTATTAGAAGTTTCTCTGACAAAAACTGGCCACAATGTTGAAAGAGTAATTCAAGCTCTTAATGAAACGCTGATTTTTCGAATCGAGTGACAGCTGACAGCGGCAATTATCTTATTGCAATTAGCGCGAGCCACGTAACTCGGGTGGAAGCGAAAACGGGATTCTGGGGTTGAGGGAAGAGTTCCATCGCGGACGATGGCTGGCAGTGGAATCCGCGCTTCCTTCTTATGGTCGGTCGCCCGTTCTTCTTCGTACCTCCTTAATGGCAGCGTCTTCTAAAAACCGCGCCGAGTTGGCCAATTAAGGGCTACGCTATCGTGTATTTGTCGCTTATCCCACGGGGGATACACCTGCACCAGAGCCTCGCGACTCCCGCGGTGGCTATTAATTATTATTCACCGATCGTTCGTCATCGCCTCGGTTTTAATTACGGTTCCATCTTGAAATACCAACGAAAGTCCCTGCCAGTATTTCAAATATTTTTTTACATCACTGACATTATCCGATTGGAAAAATTTTTATATAAAAAAATCGATTACTTTTGCTTATTTTAATTATATATACATTTTTATCTAGTCACTTTTGATAGCTTTATTAAGCTCACTCATAATGTACAATTTGTAATCTTGAACTCCAATCAATTTCACACTCGTTTAACTTCAAACAAATAAAGAACGTGCCATAATTGTCTACTTCTTTTTGCAGGGTCTCCTTGCGAGCACGACGGTATTTGCGTGAACACGCCCGGTTCGTTTGCATGCAACTGCACTCAAGGGTTCACGGGACCGAGATGCGAGACGAACGTCAACGAGTGCGAATCTCATCCCTGTCAAAACGACGGCTCCTGTCTGGACGACCCCGGAACGTTCCGCTGTGTCTGCATGCCTGGTAAGTACACCGTTATATTTTTTAAAACCATGCATTTAGCCATCTTTCAAAGGTTGAATAAAAAAGAGACGATTACACGGAAGCGAACTATTAAACAAATGAATTATGAGATGACGCGACGTAACGCGCAATATAGAGAAGTGATGCGTAATTATTTGCGGATAAGTTTATGTAACCAATTAATGTCAGAAGAGGTAGAAAGCTCATAGATTGCTTAAAGCAGAACGCGCGTATCCCTTTATCTTCGGATTCCACCGACACGACGCGACGCGAGATCGTTAACCAAGCTAACCACCCTTCACCCTCGGCAATCTTCTCACACTCGCAGAAAGCGAGGCGGCGATTCCCGGCGATATCGAGCGTGCGCCGCTCATTCCGCGTCGATTATATCCGATTATCGATCGTCAGGATCTCCGCGCTATCTCAGACTCTTAAGGGGTCTTCCTATTGCCCGGCCAGGAAGACGCGCGAGCACACGCTTCCAACTAACTCGGCGTCAAACAATTAAGGTTGACTTACGCGTGGCCGTGGCGGCCCGTTGCGGCGTTAAAAAGGGGCAAAACGAGTTTTATACCCGCGCATCAGATAGTACGAAACCCGCCAGGGCTCTCCTGTCATCTCGGAAGAATTTACAGGCGACAACGCCTGGACGAACTCGCGGGATCTCAGCTTGTCTTTCTCTTTTTCCGGCTTTGTTTTCGCGGATCTTGATTTTCGAAGATCCGGCTTTTCCGCGAAATTAACTCTACGATTCCTTAGAAACTTGAGATACCTCGCTGATCGTCATTAACGAGCGCCCTAACGAACCGCGAATCGCGACTAATAAATCTAAATGCTGTCCGCAGACAATTTTCAAGTAAATACAGATTGTATATCACGAAAGGATAAAATTCATTTATCGTTTTCATACAATGTATTTCGTGTTTCTTTTATAAATATCGAAAGTATATAATTTGATGTATAACAATACATCAGCTGCATGCAGCTGCACGTTGACTTTTTGTTTCTGCCACTGTTCCTTTTAAAAAGCCGAACCTGCTTTTTCATACGACTACTTGCAGGGACAGGTTAAAACAGTCGTATAACACTTTTTTATTCGGCAAATAAAAATTCGCGACCTGTTCAACGCGCAAACGTATATTTGCATAATGTATTCCGCGCGACTTTCAAACATAATAAACACGGGAGCGACAATGAGGATGAAACGATATTCATTGCGGGGCGGTCGAGAGACAGAAGAAAGCTGCTCGATACGCATGCATAGCATTGGATGATCGGAATCGAATAGAGGTCTCTCAAATAGAATAAAGCAGCGAACAATCGAGGGGGAAGAGATCGAGAAGGTCTCTCCAGTGCCCCGAAAAGCGAAGGGGGCAAAAAATGAGGAACGGACAGGAGCCGAGGGAGCAACGAGTAAAATATGATAGCGGGATTCGCGAAATATGAGACCGAAACGAGGGGGAATCCTTTGCCTTGCGCAGAGCCACGGCCACAAAGGTTTATCTTGTCCCTGGCCTGCCATTTTGGTACTCCACCTCCGCCTCTTCTACTACTATTACCGCTCCTTATTCTTCTTCTTCTCTTTCGTCTTCTTCCTCTCTTCTTCCTCTTGTTCTAGTTCTCCTCTCAAGACGCTCGTATCTTTTTTGTCCCCTTATTTCGCCGACCCGTTCGCCGCTTTCCTTTCTTGTCGGGACCCGTTGCTGTCCCGTAAAAGGATCCGCTAAATAGCGCTAAGAGGTTCGACGAAAGAGGATACCCGAGCATTCAGAACCTCGCCTCGTCTTCCTCGCTCTTCGCGTCTTTGTAATTGCTCTTTGCGAACCAAACTTAATAGAGTATCAGCGGTAACGAGTTCGAGATTTCTTCTTGAGATTTAAATCACGTTCGTATTATCCCAATATTATTATTGTTATAAAAAGGACATTAATGTTGATTGAATGTTTCATTTATTTAAGAAATATTACAAAAAGATAGTTGCCAACCTTAATTAATTTAAGCTAGGCTACTTATGAAGAAGCAGATTATGTCCTGGGGAAGCTGATCATATTTGCGGAAGCAGTAGCATTGGCAAGTCGTAACAAAAGAGGTTTGATAGCGGTTCCCTGTCATTGATGGACGATACCAATTAGGAGTTTGTATTACGATTTTCTACCGCCCCATCTGATAATACATACTTCCTTTCGCTTCGGTACCGTGCAAGTACGTTTTGCGTGTTGCGGCCACGAAAAATGAAGATTAATAAATCGTTAGCGGCGCGATCCGGTAGATCGCATCAACCTCGCATGTTGAACATGCGCCGCGAGATTCGGTGAAGGTTAAAAAAAGGAAGTGGAATAAGGGGTTGCTCGAATTCGATAACATCGATGATGTCGGTTGCGTTTAATGCAACATTGCTTGTTGGGTAACAGGATATTGCGGCTTCCACATACTGTGTATACTCGGCAGAATACTCGTTCTTCCTTTTTCGAGAACCCTTTAAATATTTTTCATGCGATGGCAACTCGTATTATATTTTGCCTCACCGATTGAATAATGATCTTTGCTTTGATATTATCGATCAGAGATTACTTTTTATTTAATGCACGGTATTCTTTACTGCTGTTATTTTATTGTATATGCATACTAAATGGTCTGAGCATATACATTTCGTTTATTTTCAACAATGTAGAGATACGATTTTCTCTCTCTTGCTGTGCTATTGACGAATTACGAGAAGTTCTATACGTTGCAATCGGGAGCATTATTTTTTCGCATTACTCCAGCAACGTGTTCGACCGTTTACTTAAAACAAACAATTCTATGTCAAGTATGTTTGTTGTGTGACAATTTAATAATACTACATCAGGAATTCAATGCCTCTTCGCTTTGCAAGAAGATATCTCAATATTCCTCCAAGCGGATGCAATAATAACGCATACCACGGGTCCTTATAAAAGCGATATGTGAAGATGGCGCACAAAGTGGACTCGCTGAGCAGACTCGGAGCCCATCAGGACACGCGCGGTATGATACATCGTTGAAGATGTAGATTGCTCTTGCCATAATCCCAGCAGCCTTGCATTGTCCACCGTGGACAATGGCCGCCGCGGTTCTGTTATCTCGCCAGCCCTTATCCGACTTGAACTTCTCTTTCTTCAAGCAGTGGGCACATAGGTGGAAGCTTCTTGCTGGATATTGTGCGTAGTAAATCTTGCCCGAGAAGAATCAGCACGGTTACCGTACAATTGCGTCGATTGCGGACGGTGAGCGCAATGTTACCTCTTTGTTATCTCAATCCGACTTTTTTCTCTGTGTTTAGAAGAGTTCTTTCTAGAAAGACGAACGTTTTCTGTAGCGTTTCGTTAGAGTTCAGTGCACTATTGCAGGAGTTGAGTAGGTTTCAAGTTTGCGTCAAGGGCAGGTTAATTTAGTATGAGAAGAATGAAGAACATTGAATGAAAGTTATCCATTTATATGAAAATACTAATTGCGTTCTATTATCCTACGATAAACGTATTCAAGATACAAAATAAATACACAGCGATAAACCGTAACGTTCAAGGGCTTAATCTCTGAGTGTACTTCCGAAGACATGATCGACTGACGGAATGCAGAATGGTCACACGAGACCACGAAGAAGAAAGACGAGAACGAGAAGAGAAAAAAGGAGGACGGAGTCGCGAAATCGAAGCGTGTTCGTTCGAATCGCGAACAATAAATGCTCGCGTCTCTTCGTCTCCGGAGGGTGCCGTCAATTCTTGACAGTCTCGCCCTCTCGGCATCTCCTTCTTTGTCCACGCCGATCGATCCTCGTCCTCGTCGCGTCGACCCGATGAAGAAACAAAACCATAATTTATAACGGTGAAAAAGAAGACACGGACACGAGGCCGAACGGGAGAAGGGATATGTCAATCGGAACGAGCTCCCATTGACTGACGAGAATAATATCGGTATTGGTCTGATAAATTATTCCAACGATATCGAGTCGATTTCGATCCCGCTGCGGTGTGTATCGATACGTCACCTTGACAACGACATTCGCAGGCTTTACTCCAAATGATCATTAGTAAGCTACGGTCTTTCAGCTTACGGACGTTCTAAGAAAAATGAAACAATCTCATTCTTGAGTTCTGATCTTAAAAATAAAGAATGAAGCTTCAATTCTATAAATGTGGATCACAGTGTCTGTTTTAATTTTTTAAAGGAGGAACCGAGTTCTTTGAAGAGATTCCTAAAAAAATTGCACAGATCTATGCCCAGAGAAGGAGAGGGAAGGGTACTCCCGTAGGACACTTACATAAATACGGAGCGGGTACGTAAAGCGTCGACGGGGCCAGCAGCGAGATTCTATCTGAGTTTACCCAACACGCCCGCTAACTCTTCTAGCGGACTTTATCCGATTCGATCTGCGGCTCTCGCGAGTGGCTTCTCTCTCTCTCTCTCTCTCCCTCTCTCCCTCTTATTTCCTCGTTTCGTTATCCGTTTCGTATCTCTCCTCTTTTTCGTCGGTCGCGTACGGACCGAGAGAAGTTGGATGTGAGTCGAGCAAGCTCTAGAAAGGCGGCATCTAAATTGGTTCAGATCACCAGCCACTGATTACCAGTCAGCCTAGACCCAATGGGAAAAAGAGAAACCCCGAAAAAGTACCACGGTTTTTCCCTCTCGTCGCTCTTACGCCACGGAATTATATTCGCCTCGAGATATCTCGGCCGTGAAAGAATTCCAAGCTTCACTTTCTTGATTACGTTCCTGAAATCCGACTTGGTTCGCTGGGAACTTGTGAGTAAAACTAATGTTACATAATCATTTGTGTTTTCGAACAATGAACACTGCATTTCCTTCTTTGAAAATTTGGAGTAGGTTTAAACTTCCATGAACTAAATGTCTGTTAATTTTCTCTTGTTTGACTTATATAAATAGATCGTGAGGCTCACAGTTGTTACCAGATTTTTGCACATTGAAAATTAGCAATTCCTGTTTTTTTTTTTTTATTATTATTTTGTCACACTATGGACATT